CAAAGTCAATTTGGGAGTGGGCTTTTTCTCTCTTTGGGTGTAGATGGAACCCTCCATCAGACCAATGTTTAAAATGTCGATGTCGATGGAAATGTCGCTCACCAAAATATAGGACATATGTCAAATGTCGGAAATGTCGAGGGGAAATATTGTAAAGTTTAGAGACATTGTGGAAATATGATGAAATATGTGGAAATATGTGCATTAATACATATTTCTAGACTATTATCTTATTCCCAACCATTATATAAAGCTAAGAAACTAAGATCAATAACAAATTAGTAAATGACGATTTACTAATTTATTATCCATTTTGATGTTTTTACGAGGTTATTTGATATTTTCTTTTCTTATTTTTAATTCTGATTTATTATAAGTTCTAATATATTTATTTCACACTAGTAAATAGAAATACATTTTTTCTGAGTTATAAATATTAAAGTTATAATACATTATGTTTTATTATAAATTTAATAAACTGATTCTCCTTTTTGTAGTATTAAGATTATGATAAATTCTGATTTCTTATAAAACTTGATGAATTTATTATGATTTTTAATACTAAATTTATAATAATGTATGATTCAGTATAAAATTTAATAAATTTATTTTGATTTTTTATATTAAATGTTGAATATAATTTATTATAAAATTTAATAAGCATTTTTTGATTTTAATAAATATTTTAAAAAATACTAACTAGTTAATATTTTATTACTTGAAAAATATTTTATGTTTTATATTATAAAGTAACTAATTTATTCTTTTGTTTTTATACTTTGTTAATTCTTTTTTATAAATATTTTATTCGAAATATTAAATAGAAATTAATAATGGAATAATTTATATTAATATAATATACTAATATATTATATTATTAATGTACATTAGTCGACATCCTGTTGACATAATAGGATAAACCGTCCTTTTTTGGTTATTTGGACCGATTTGGTTGACATATCCGAAATATAGGAAATGTCGACCGAAATAATGTAATTTTTATATTACCATCCATTTTCATGTCGGTAAGCCTTGACAACATATGTCGGGCGACATTAGTGACATTTTGCGATATTTGAAACCATGCACCAGACATGCAGAGTCTTTTCTCCCCTTCTTTTTTTAGGTGGCGTATGAAAAGGGGAAGGACTATGTGGAGAGGACTGAGGGCTACAATATGCTGGTCATTATGGGAAGAAAGAAATTCCAAGATCTTCTTAGAAGTTGAGAGAGGGGCTGTACAGTGGCTGAAATCTATAGAGCTGTACAGTGGATGACATGTTGAGGAAGTGGGGTGAGATTGCAAATTGTACATAAACCAAACTAGTAATGAGTGTGTCTTGGACCCCCTCACCTGCTGGATTCTTAAAATTAAACTTTGATGGGAGTAGTAGGGGGAATCTTGGACAATTAGGGATTGGGGGTGTTTTTAGGGATGAGAATGGGATCATTTCTACCTTGTTCTCAGGCCCAATTGGAGTGGATGACTCCCTTAGAGCTGAGATCTTGGAAGTTATGGATGGAGTCTAGAAAGCTAAGGAGATGAATATCTTGGACAGTGGCTGAAATCCTTAGAGCTATTCACAGATTACACAGTGGATGACATGTTGAGGAAGTGGGGTGAGATTGCAAACTGTACATAAACCAAACCAGTAATGAGTGTGTCTTGGACCCCCTCACCTGCTGGATTTTTAAAATTAAACTTTGATGGGAGTAGTAGGGGGAGTTTTGGACAATCAGGGATTGGGGGTGTTTTTAGGGATGAGAATAGGATCATTTCTACCTTGTTCTCAGGCCCAATTGGAGTGGATGACTCCCTTAGAGCTGAGATCTTGGAAGTTATGGATGGAGTCGAGAAAGCTAAGGAGATGAATATCAGAAAACTCATAATTGAAGGGGACTCGGAGGTAGTGATAGGGTGGCTGAATAAAGACAATAGTGGCTTATGGAATTACAACAATGAGAGGAAATTTAAGTGGCTGGTGCAAGAGATGGAAGTTAAGATGAGTTGGGTTAAAAGATTAGCTAATTCTGTAGTTGATGGATTAGCTAAACAAGGGGTAGAAAGGGACTCAATGTTTTGGGCTAAGTTGTAATTTAACTGTTTCTTCCTTTCCTTTTCTTTTCTTTTCTTGAGGGCTTAAGTTGTATTTGGAAGATAAGAGCGTTTGTCTTCCTGGTTGTAATTATTCTTATGTTGATTTAATGGATTTTAATGAAATTGTTATTGATAAAAAAAAAATTATACCCACCCATACATGGTAAATGGTAAGTCCCCCATACATCAGGGTGAACAATATTAAAAGGAATAATTGATCTTTTATTACCTGAAGGATAAGTGCTCTTACAATGCTTTGAGAACTCACAAGACTGACAATGAAGAGTCGATAGACTAATTCCTTTAAGAAACTCTAGAAACAACTGACTCGATGAAGAAAAGGACAAATGACCCAAACGACTATGACATAACATAATACAACTAGTGGATTTTGAAACAAATGTAGTTCTCTTAGGTTGTACTTGGCTCTGCTCAGGCATGTCTAATAGATAGATCCCATTTGCCTCATGGCCACCCCCAATCACCTTTTGAGATTCTATGTCATGAAAAACATAATATAAAGGAAAAAAGGTCACACTACAATTTAGGGATTTAATCAAATTACTAACTGAAAGCAAATAGGTATTAAGTTTTGGCACATGAATAGATGATAAGGTCAAGGCATTAGAGGTCTTAATGTCTCCCTTTCCCTTGATAGGGGCTAGGGAGCCATCAACAAGGGATATCTTATCCCGGCTAGAAAGAAGTTGGTAAGATGTGAATAACTGTGAAACACTTGGTCATATGGTTAGAAGCACTAGAATCAATTATCCAAGGGGTGTTATGAGTACCTAAGATAGAAGCATGATGTGTAGTGGCATGAATACTTGAGTGAGCATATGCAAAGGAAGGAACAGTCTCTAAATGAGGTATAACAGTGGACTCCAAGTGATTGATGATTCGGCCATACTTCTCATATTCAGCCCTAGTGACTGCAAGCTGTTCTCCCACTGATTTCTCTACACCTTGTCCTTGTTCACCTTGTGAAGAGGTGGCTACATTTTCATTTCCACCTTTTCCAGATTCAACCATTTTCGCACCATTTGCTTTCTTGAATCTAGTAGGAACAAGCTCTGGATGCAGCTTCCAACATGTGTCTTTAGTGTGTTTAGGCATCTTGCATTATTCACAGATAACATCTTTCTTCCTAGTGCTAAACTTTGGCTTCATTCCCACATTAGCATAGTGATCAACTTGTGGCTCAATAGACTGAACCTGTCTTTTGCTCTCCTCACTGCTCACCATAGCATATGCGTGAGGTAAAGTCACCTCATCCTTTGCTAAAACATATTGCCTCACAATATCATACTCCGAGTTGAGTCCGATGAGGAACTCAAAGACCCGGTTTCTCTCCACTAACCTCCTAAATGTTTTTGCATCCTTTGTGCAACCCCAAACCATAGTCTCCATCAAATCAATCTTTTGCCAAAGATATTTCAGCATAGAGAAGTGGATTACTAAGGGCTTCTCCCCCTATCTAAGATTATTCACATCATGCTTCAATTTGCAAGCCTGAGCAACACTAAGCTTTTGGGAATAGGTCTCTGTGACACTATCCTAGACTTCTTTTGCAGTTTCCATCTACAAGTAATGTTGAGTAATGTGTGTTTGCATAGAATTCACTAACCAATCCACTATTGTGTAGTTTTCTTGCATCCACCTTTCATAGGTAGGATCCTCCTCCTCTGGTTTCTTCTTGTTCTCGGTAATATAACCCCATTTCCCTCTACTACACATATGTATCTTAATAGATTGAGACCAAGCTAAATAATAGGCCTCATCTGGCAACACAGTAGTCACAACCCCAAAAAGATTCTCCATTAACCCCCTATGTCTAAATCTAGAATTTGTGGAATATTTGGTCTCCTCCAATTTGCTCCATTGAGTAAATGAATGCAAACGAAAATAAAATTAGGGCTTTACTAGGCTAGATTTACTGTTCTAAGCAAAGAATAACCTCTCAACCCCCCAAAATTAGGGTTTCGCAGGGTCCTGCGGGATGTGGAGAAAGAGAGAAACTTCAACCGCCCCTTCTAGAGGTTCTAGAATTCAATCCAACAAAAACCGCTCCTAATAGAAATCAAAAGGCTTACTTTTGATCCCCAAGCGCCTGGTTCAAACTGTCTCTACGAATAGTAACAAGGTTTCTCCAGTTATCTAGGGTTTTCGAGAAAAAACTCTAAGAACCTGCCTTGGGCTTCAACTAAGGATGAAAAGCCTCCACAAAACTCTCCAAAAACCGGTCATAAGTAGCTAATTGATCAACCGGTCAGCTCTCCATACACACTATGTATGGGCAAAGAAAAGGAGAAAATAGTTGAAAGTGAGAACCCACTCTGATACCAAGTTGAAAATTACACCTATAGTAATTCAGATAATGCAAGAAAAGAAGAAAAGAGAGAAAAAGAAAGAAGAAGAAAAGAAGTTTCAGCAATAGGTTTTGGAAGAAGAAAAGAAGAATTCAAACCTCTCTCTAGCCCCTTTTCATCACTGTTATTAATAATTCTAAATCTGAGTACAATTACTTGGATGCCCTTAATGGGGCGGCCAGCACTAAAGAAATAATTAAAGAAAATAAAAGAAGGCCCATAAGGCTCATAATTAAGAAACATAACTTTTAAACACTACTTAAAAGAAATAAAGAACACTAGGGCCCATTCGATCCATTCTCACTACAGATTTTTCTGCCTCTCCCATCTCCAACTTGGTATTCTGTTTTGTCCTTTGTTCTCTTTGGACTCTATTGCCCTGTTTCTGTTTGAGTGTAAAATTTCTTTTTATACTAGCTGAATAAGTAGTTTTTTTTTGTTGTAATGATGTTTGAATTATCTGTAGTACTAACCATTGTCTGGACTTGGTATTTTGTCTATTGACCATTGTATATGCGATGCCCTTCATATAGGTATCCATCCTGGATGGTATTACCATGGGAGCTGGGGCTGGGGTTGCACTTCTAGGGACATTTCGCGTGGCAACTGATAAAACTGTATGCATCTTCCAATACATGTTTTCTTATCTCTTGATGAGATCACCTTAAATCATTATGTTAACCAACACACCACATGCCTTAAATATTATTGACTTTGAAATTTGACTTTGTACTATATCTAATCTCTTCATATTCACTATGTTGTGCTTATCTTTGCAGCCTAGTTTGTTTGTTTATTAACAATTTAAGTAGTTCTCACATTATGGGAGCAAATGGTAGGTATTTTCTGCTCCAGAAACTCAAATTGGTTTCCATCCTGATGCTGGGTCTTCCTTCTATCTCTCTCGTCTACCTGGCTATCTAGGTGAGTCCTACTAAGTATGCAATTTATGACAGGTACCTATTAATGATTGATTTCTCTAGTTTGATATATTTATGTTCTTTCTAGAGTTTGTATTGATTGCTCCCTTAATGCTAAGACACTGAATAAACCTTTCTATGTAAGGAGCACGGTACCCTTTTTGGCTAAGGTCTTATCTCTGAGGATTAAAAAGGTCCTTCCCTCCCTTATTAGTAGTCAAGCTCAAAGTGCCTTTGTTTAGGCCTTTAGGGGAAACAAATAGTTGATCAAATTCTAATAGCAAATGAATGTGTGGAGGAAATGAGGAAGTGTGGGTTTGGGGATAGATGGTGGAAATGGATAAATGGTTGCCTTACCTCCTCCTATTACTCTGTCTTAGTCAACGGGGTAGTTAATGATTTTTTCCTAGCTAGTAAGGGCCTAAGACAAGGTGATCCCTTGTCTCCTTTCTTATTCACACTAGTTGTTGATTCTTTTAGTAGATTCTTATTAGAAGGGACAAGGTTGTGTCAATAAGAAGGTGGAGAATAGTTAGAGATAGAGTTCCAGTTGCTCATCTTCAGTTTGTAGATGACATTATAGCTTTTTGTGAGGATTGTGAATTGATGGGGGTGAGAAATCTGAAGGATCTATTAATTCTCTTTGAGAGGGCCTCAAACCTGAAAATAAACTGAGAAGAGCTGTGTAGTGGGGATAAACCTGAATAGAAGGGAGATGGAGTTTATTGCAGCCCGTTTAGATTGCATTTGGTCATAGTGGCCTTTATCTTATTTAGGACTCCTTAGGTGCTGACCCAAAGGAAAATAGGTGTTGAAACCCTATGGTGGAAAATTTTGAAAAAGGACTAGCAACCTGGAAGAGAAACTATATATCTTTGGGGGGTAGAGTAACTTTGGTTATGGCAACACTAGCCAACCTGCCAATTTATTTAATGTCAGTCTTTAAAATACCTAAAAGGGAGGCTAAGAGGTTAGAAAAATTGATGAGGGATTTCTTATAGGAGCCTAGGGCAGAGAAAAAAGACCACTCGATTAAGTGGGAAGTAGTGAGCTGAAGTAAAAAATAAGGGGGCTTAGGGTTAGGGGATGTTGTGAGTAAGAACGAAGCTCTTCTAGGTAAATGGCTTTGGAGGTGGCTCCTAGAGAGAGAGGTTATGCCATGAAGTGGGGAAGAGTATCCATGGCTGTTTTGAATCCAGTTGGGATGCCAGGGTATCCCGAAGGGCTTTGCTCACAACACCCTAGAAGGCAATTTCTAGCATTCTCCCCAAATTCTTCAGGTTTGTAAGGTATGATGATGGCTTTGGAAATTCAATCCACTTTTGGGAAGATGTTTGGGTGGGCAGTCAACTCCTAAAAGACCAATTCCCTTCCATCTATTCTATCTCCCTCTTTAAAAAGAAACATATCTCATGGTTCCTCTCCCCTCGGTTCTCCCAATGGCTTTAAACTAGGATTTTGGGTTTCGAAGAAGTTTAAGGATGATGAATCTGCTTGTGTTTTAGGTCTCTTGCTTGTTCTAGACTCTGTGTGTTTGGACCTTCCTACACCTGATAAAAGGATTTGGACTTTGACCCTTAGTGGCTCTTCACTTGTGCCTCTTTCTTTAAACCCCTCTGTTCTACCCTCTCCTCTTGGGTTTTACCTGTTAAAGAAATCTGGTCAAGGCCCATTCCTCTTAAAATAGCCGTATTGGGAAGCCTATTATGGTAAGGTTAATACTGTGGACAAGGTTCAAAGTACCGGCCCGTATCGGCCTGTATCGGCCGATACGTATCGTTTCGGGACCCTTCCGATACGCCCCTACAGTGGGTGTGTCAGGGGTCTGACCGGTTCAGGGGATGGAGGGGTCCTAGACCGGCTCCCCTGAACTAGTTTTGAAAAAAAAGTAAAAAACAAGTATTGAAACGCCCGAGGGCATATCGATATTTTGAACCTTGACTGTGGAAAACTTGCAAAAGAAGAAACCTTAAATGTGTTTGTCCCCAAATGGGTGCATTTTGTGTAAAGTGGAGTGAGGACTGTCACCCTTTGCTGATATCTTGATTTTTTGCTGCCAATATTTGGAACTGGGTTTTATTATTATTTGGGTGCAGGTGTAACTTGCCCTCTGAAGTTAATGTGGAAGTGTATCAGAGCAGCTAACTTGTGGACAATGTGGGAGGAGAGGAATGCTAGAATATTTTAAGTAAAGGAAAGAAGCCTTGCTGAAGTAAAGGAGTGTATAATGACAAGGACAACCTCTTGGCTGAAAACTTCAGACTTGTTTGTGAACTATTCTTATGATGATTTAAGGAGAAATTGGGCAGCAGTGGCATCATCAGCCTCCACAAAGAACAGACTACAAGCAGAATGGAAACCTCCTCCAGAAGGACTGGTAAAGCTAAATTTTGACGGAAGCAGCCAAGGTAATCCAGGGCCCTCAAGTATAGGAGGGATTCTGAGAGGTAAGGACAGCAACATTCTATCTTTATTCTTAGGACCGGTAAGAGTTGGTGATTTTATAAGGGCTGAGATACTAGCAGTGGTACAAGGTATACATGTTGCTAATAAACTTGCAGTGGAGAACTTGATAGTTGAGAGGGAGTTCAAGGTGATAGTGGGCTGGGTGTCAAATTCAGAAAGTCTTTTGGGGTTACAGGGATCTCTTAAAGAAAGTTAATTGGCTGACAAGGAATATGGCAGTTAGGTTTCAATAGGTCAGCAGATCGGCAAAGGCCATGGCTGATTCTTTGGCTAAACAAGGGGTATCAAGGGGTGATCTGTTTTGGGCTACCTTATAATTGTAATTCAGGCTAGTGTGTGTTGATTTGCGTAGTGCTCAGTTCCAAGGGGAGGTAACATCTTATGCCTCCTCTTAGGCTGATTGTACACTTTCTGTGATTAACAAAATTCTACTCATTTATCAAAAAATAAATAGGGAGCATGATACCCTTGTCTCTGTCACATTATCTTTCTGTATTGTTCATGGCCATTGGATTGTTTCTAGTAAAAATTTTTAGTCTACAGTGCATACATGCCACCTATTTTGTTGTTTCTGCCTTGACTTAGTAACAGTAGTTCTTGCTTGCTCACATTTTTGTAACAAGAATATAAAATGTGCATTTAAAAGTGAAACTATGGTTGGTAATGGTATATAGCTTATTAAAATTAAGGAATTCTTTAAAGGTTTTGACTTCATTATGCATTACTGCAAGAAAAAAAATGAAGAATTGACACTAACTAGTTATCTTTTCCTTTTTTTTATTGGCTAATTTCGACCTAAATTATCATCGTCACTTTATAATCTTCGATTCTCTGGATGCTCTCAAGAGAAGAAAAAAGTTACACAAAAATTACCAAACCTTTAATCAACAATTATTAGCTCTCAAAATAAAACCTTCCATCAACAATTATTAGCTCTCAAAGTAAAACCTTCAATCAACAGTTATTAGCTCCTTTTTCCTAATTCTTCTGTGATATGTATTTATAGACCCAAAATAGCAACTTCCAACTCCTACTTGTATTCAGACTTGACAAAAATAAGTAAAAACTTCCTTTTCAAACTAAAAACTCTAGTCGGGGTTCACTGGTCATCCTGTTAGGTAGGACTTTGACTATGACTGTGCAGAACCCAAGAACCAGTCATCTTGAAGCCTTTAGTTGGGGCACTTCTGCATGTTGGATTGAACTGAAAATCTACACTATTTGAGTACTATAAACATACTTTAATGGCATAAAATTTCAACCAACTTGGGCAAGGTTTGACTGATCGATCTGTTGATTCTTTTCCGGTTGATGATGCATCCTGCAGGTCTAATATGTGACCTTTCTTTAGTTTCTTTGTTTGAGACTTGCCTAAAATTTTCTTATATGCACTTGCATTGGTCACTATATAGGGTTGGCTGTATGAATCCTGTTTTGCCATCCACATTAATCAGCTCGGCTAAAATAAAATAGATTGGCTACTTCTGCAATGTGATTACACCGGATGCTTCCTTTTGACTGATACATGACTAATGTTCTCTGGTAGAAAATTGGCTGGTTATTTTGATCGTACCAAGCCATATTATCAAAGAATTGTATTTTCCAAGTTTATGACACCAAACAGAATGGAATGGTGGCACAGGATTCCTGTAGTCAACCCCATTGGTACGAGGCTGAATGTTCTTTATTAAAAATAAATGAAATTGATATCCTGTCCATTATCATTACATTGGAACCTGATAAACTAATTAATGTAGTTTTGCACCTTGGTCCCTCTACTTATTTCAAATAGACAAGAAGAGAATATAATTATTTATTTTCAAGTATATTTTCGTTGAGGTAAGCTTGCATGTATTTTCATGTTGAGATTTTTTGTTTTCATGGATTCAACTGAAGATGCATAGAGTAATTTTGGTAATTGAATTGCAAGCTTAGGACATACATCTGCTACATGTTTATGCTGACTAGTGATCATCCACAGGTTATGTCCTGGCAATGACCTACAAGTGTGTTGCTTGTTTGTTGCTTACAGGTGAATATTTGGCTTTAACAGGAGAAAAAATTAATGGAGTAGAAATGATTGCCTGTGGCCTTGCTACACACTATTCACTCAATGCAGTCTGTGTTCTTAATGTCCCCTCCATTGTGTTTTCACTTTTTGGTGCCTTGTTTTCTACCCTATGGTCCAGTATCCTCTAATAATCATCTCTTGTTAACAGAGACTTGCATGGATTGAAGAACGACTTGGTAAATTGATTACAGATGATCCTTCTGTCATAGAAAACTCCTTAGAGCAATATGGTGATCTTGTATACCCTGACAAAAGGAGTGTTCTTCATAGGTATTTTGTTTTTGCTTATTATTGCCACCTATTTTGGGACTTGTGCCATGAAATTAGTTCAGTTGCTTTCTTTTCTTTTATGGTTGGAAGGGGAAACTTTTGTTATAATTGCTTATTTTGCCTTGATTTAAGAATTAATTCTAAATCATCACACCAAAGGTTCCATAATAAGCTAGAATAGTGTTCTGATCACCACATATTCAACTCACAAAGTCTGTAATTTTGGCCATCAACTTGATTTTAATATTTTAATGGCATTAAACAGAATAGAATGGCAAAACAGGATTCATGTAACTGACCCCATATAGTTGGGATAAAGCTTAGATGATAATGATGAACAGTATTTTAATATTAATAGAGATGGATATATTTAGCCAATGGTTTTTCCTACATTTAAAATCTATTATCTTGTATTGAATGTTAATTTTACATTTTTACTAGTATAAAAAGCCAATATAGTACCAAGACTAGTAACAATCATTGAGGCTTTTTAAGTCCATAGTTACCCTATTGGGACTAACAGTATGGTAGAGACTAGGTTTCTTTTGGTATTATACTGAAACATAGGCTACTATATGATCCCCATGGCCAGCCCCATCATGAGACTACAAGCTAGGCCACCGGATTCTCATTATTGAATGTTGAATGAAATGCACCCTATTTTCCCTAGATATATAACAGGAACCTGCTGTGGATATTGAATTTTCATTGGACCTTGATGCAGATGGGCAATATAGCATGTAGATGTTATGCCAAGCTAGGATTCTTATTTGTTCATTTAGTGTGCTTAGAACATACATCCCTTCTCTATTCCTTGATGTATCAAAACCTTGGTTGGCTGAAGTTTTGTTACAGAAAAAAATGAAAGGAAAAAAATCTTTCTTGGTAATGAGAATGGATTCTTTCTTGTTTTGCTCCTGTAAGAATAGAACTTTACACTCCTTTTGATCTAGTTTATGGCTTGTAACTCATTTTCTTTTTGGTCATTTATTCAGGATTGAAACAATTGACAAATTTTTTTGCCATGACACAGTCGAAGAAATTATTGCTTCTCTGGTAAGCATGAAGGCACCTCATTTTCCTTTGTGAAAAAATAGGATACAACAAGATAATTGAGTTACAACTCAAGAGAAAAGAATCTCCATTCTCCAAGAGAAACTAGGTAGTTCCCTTGCTTGTAACCCCAAACTGGTTGCTTCACTTCATGTGAAATTTTATTTTTCTCTAATTCTTATAGTAGATTTTTGGAAGTGGGTAAAGCATATACTTCTGTTGTTGACACATTTGTTAGAATACTATATGATTTGAACTCATCCAAATTGAAAGATTGGATATAAAGGAATCTGAATGAGATTCTTTGAAGTGGATCTGGCAAGGGAGCTAGAGGTAGTTTGAAGAGGAGGAAGTGAGAAAAGCAATTCTTGAGATGGACAGCTCTAAATCTCCAAGTCCATGGTTTCTCTATTGGGTTTTACCAAAAATGTTGGGGCATTTTGCAAAAGAACTTTTCAAGGAATTTCATGATAGCGGAATTGTAAACAAAGGGTTAAATGCAACTTTTGTGGCTCTAGTTCCTAAAACTTCTCAAGCTGTACATCTGAAGGATTTTAGATCCATTAGCTTGGTGGATAGCATGTGTAAGATTTTTTTATCAATAACTGTAACTTTCATTAATTAAAGAAAGATAGAACGGATACAATACAAATAGAGACAAATCAGCTTATCTCCAAGATAAAAAATTTTACAATTGAGCTCAAAACATTTGATTTCCCCTTGTTTTGTCAAAACATCAGCCATATTGTTAGCCATCCTTTGGACACATTGAATTCTCACATCCATTTTTCCCTAGATAACCATTTAATCTTCTTTAATTGATTTGGTATTTTCTTAAGACATTCCCTTTACACTTGACCACCAATTGAGAATCACCTTCTACAGTCTGCTTGTGCACACCTAACTCCTTTGCTTTGACTTCCCCTTCCACAACTGCCATTAATTTTAGCCCTATAAGAATCCTCAATGCCAATCAGACCTGAGAAATGCCATCACGTGACCTAGCATATTTTTGGAGATGCCTCCTATACTTGAAGGGCCTGGGTTCCTCCTACCACTGCCGTCAAAATTTAGTTTTATGCATCCCTCAACCAGTAGTCTGACCATGACATATTAATTTTGAGTTTCATAGGTATGGATCTAGCATGTATAAGATTATTGCCAAGGTTCTATCTTTGAGGTCAAATGAAGTTTTGTATGAAGTAGTGTCATAGAATCAAGGTGCATTCATTGGAGGTAGATAAATTACCTATCAGATCCTAATTGCAAACGAATGTGTGGAGGAAATGAATAGATCAGGAGGTAGAGGTTGGGTGCGTGAGCTTGACTATGAAAAAAGTGTATGCCTTGGTGGATAAGGTCATTTTTGGATGAGGTGTTGAGAAATTGCAATTTTTAATATTTTTATAAATAAAAAATAAAAGCTGAATTAAAAACATAAATTGAATATAAAAATACATATAGCATATCTGAAACATAATTATACATTATTTACTGATAAACTATATATTTATACACATATATATGTACACACACACACACACACACACACATACATACATACATGTTGGACAGTAGACCTGTTCGACCTGGACGGTCAAACTGGTGACCTGCAACCCAGAGGCAAAAACGGTTTGGCCTCCGGGTCAGTTTTTAAAACATTGTATAGGAGTCTAAAACAAGGGTGACTAGGGTTGGTGAGGATCTCATTCATAAATTCTTCTCTATTAGGAAAATGGTTGTGGAGATTTCCAAAGGATTCAAGTAAACTTTGGCATGTAGTCATCAAAAGAATTCATGGTGTTAGTTTGAATGCCTAGTATGCATGTTCCAAAGCAAGAGTGACCTTGTCGACTCTTTTGAAGTCTATTTATGCATTACTCTCCTTCTTCGGGTCATTAAATATGATGTTATTTCAGATGATAAAACTAAAATTTGGCTGGGCCTTTGGTAGGGAGATGTGGCTCTCAAGGAAGATTCCTTTCTTTGTCTGTGTCCTGATTGTCTTATCTCTAAGTGCTATACTCTCTCCTTACAAGGTTTGGCTTGGGACTTGGGTTTGCAAAGGGGCCTTTAGGGATTGTGAAACCCAGAAAATTTTGGCTCTACTCGAATCTGTGGAGGGTGTTGTCCTTGATTCGAAAAAACAAATTTCCAGACTTTGGATGCTCAATTCCTCCTGTTCCTATTCCTGTGCTTCTTTTTTTGTTTGCCTCTCTTCTAACCCTTCAACAAGCTCTTTGTTCGGTCGTAGCCATTTGGAGTGGTCCTGTGCCACCTAAGATAGCCTTTTGTTGGGGTGTTTTCATAACAAACTTAACACTCAGGACACTTAATAGTGGAAACAATTTTCATGGTTCTATACCCAAATGTCTGCCCCATGTGAAATGCTAGTGGTGAAAATTTCTTTCATGCAGCTATGTGCTTGCTATTTTGGAGCATTTTTTTCTCTTTGTTTGGGTGCAGGTGGGTGCCTCCTAATGATTTGAAACATCTGTTTGATTCCTCATTCTTCTCCACTGCAAGAAATAGAGGAAGAATCCTATTGAGGTGTCTTAGAGCTGCAACGTTATGGTGTGTGTGGGAAGAAAAGGAATGCTTGAACCTTAAATGATAAGGAACAGGACTTAAGAACAATTAATTGATAATATCTCCATTAAAGTGACACATTGGGCAAAAACTCTTGGACTGTTTGCTGACTTCACAATGGATGACATTATTAGAATTGGGGACTCAATCAGGGCACTGAGGGCAGAATTAAAGACTGTGTTAGCAGGTACTGCAAAGAGCCAAACTAATGAAATACAACAACTTTGGTAGTTGAAGGAGATGCTAAATTTATAATAGGGTGGTTGGAAAGCTTGGAGGAGAGGCTTTAGAGGTATAGGTATGAAATCAGGAAAGTCAAGGATTTAATGAGTTAAGAGCAATCATATGATGGGCACCTAGACTGCAAATAGCTTAGCAGATGGGCCAGCAAAATAGGGGGTGACAAGAAGTTCTATGTTTTGGGGAATGACAGAACAAGGGCGATTGTATGTAATGCACTGAAGTGGTTTTAAATACTGTATCTGAATTGGATGGTTAGTTGAGGCTGACCATCCTTTCACTTTTATCTACTTTATGTCTCTCAATTTAATAAAATCTATTATTATGTTGCTGATTAAAAAAAATACTCTTCCAAATGGATGTAATTCCAGGGCATTACATGATGCTGGTGATACACTTCTGCACAGGTGGCAATTTCTTACCCAACCCACCCAAATTCATCCATTTAAGATATGGGTTGAATATGGGTTTAGCCACCCATTGGTTTTAAGTAAAAAGGGTTGGGTTATGGGTGCACATTGGTTCCCTGCTACTCTCCTTTCTCTCATTCCATTTCTCTCTGCTCTCTGTTTTTCTTTCCTTTTTCCCATCTCTCATTGCTCTCTCTCACCAATTCTCTCTACTCTCTTCACTCCTTTTTTTTCTCTATTTTCCCTCCTCTCATTTCTCTCATCCCACTTCTCTCATCTCTTCCTTCTCTCTACTCTATTTTTCTCTCGTTTCTTCCTTCTCCCACCCAATATTTTAAAATGCAGAGGTGAGATGTGAGGCATCCCACTATCTGGAAGCATGAGGTTTATTTTAGAACGTATGAGGCATTAGCTTTCTGAGCACAAGGAGGTGTAAGCCTCCTCAAGAGGAAGAAGAAGATGAAGAGGAAGAGGAAGGAGGGGGAAGGGGAGGAGGAAGAAGTTCTTGTTTTCCTTGTCTCTTTTTGATGAAAGATTTCTTGTGGTAAAAGAATGAGAATGTATAAGACTAGCTGAAAGGGGGGTTTTGCTTGCTTGCTGAAGCAAAGTGGGCCCCCTGGCACAAAAATACCAAATTGGCCCACATCAGAGAGGTGTTGGGGGGGGGGGGTCTAAGGGGCAAAGTCCCCTGGCCTAGACTTCCTTTTCCCTTTTCTTTTCCTTTTTTTCTTCTTTCTTTTCCTTTCGTTCCTTTTCTTTCTTTCTGTGCAAGGCATGCATGAAGCACATGAGGTGTATGTCTCAGAAGCATAGATGTTTCTAACATGTGCCTTAGGGTGTTTTGGGGAGCCTCCAAATGTACGCCTCCCACCCTTTCTAAAACCTTGCTCCCACTTTTCTCTCTCTTGTCTTCCTCTCCTATGTTTTTTCTCGCCTTTCTCTTTGATATCTCTTCCATTTTCTCTCTCCTCTCTCTTATCTTGTTTCTCTCTCATGCTTATCTTTTCTCTCCCTACTATTTTATAATTTTCTATCCTCCTGGTATGTGGTTTCTCTCTCTTTATCTCCTTTCCAACTTTTCTAATGAAGTCCAAATTTTATGTTTGGGTTGAACCAGTTAGTTAAGGACATGTGGCACTATAAGAGAAACAAAGGTTTTTTTTTTTTCCAATACAGATTGGTTACATAATTTTAAATATTCAAGTGGGTCAACTAGGGTGGATTAGGTTAGGTGTGAGTTAGCTTGGGTTGCAACCCATACATATTAGAAATGCGACTTACAAAGGGATGTGGGTGGTTGGTGGATGGGTTGGCCTTCAATCTGCATTCAATCCAATCCAATCCATCCGTTTGCGTCACTGCTATGCTTTAAACATATATTGACATCGACACTTATACTAGCCCATAGCATCTTAACAACGATTTTGAGAAAGGGAGAAGAGGAATAAATAAATAACATTGAAGGTGGTCTATTATTCTCCACTAGATGTTCTTAGGAGATTCACCCCCCTTGAAGCATGAATTAATGGAGGAGTGATATTAGACAGCCTGTTTTTCCTCTTTATTTTTTCCACAAATAGGAAGTTACGGATTCGATTTGGATATCAGAAGCATCATGATGTGATGCCTATTGTATCAGCTTGACCTTTTATAAGCGGAGACAAAATAAAATGTCCATAATTAAGATGTTTACTGTTTACTCTTGATTCAACACACTTCCACTGTAGTGTCCGAGTAAATACTTTTACTTCCTCTTGGACGATAGCAATATTATTTGATCAGATCATTGAATCATTTATTTCTCTTGAAATTCGTTCAGTTTTTATTTCTACACATGTTATATACTTATTACATTGTATGTGAACAAGTTCCTGGTTGGTTGTGGTATCTATGCTCTCTTATGATCAACTTGTTCAGGAAGATGAGGAAGCTAATTCTTATGATGCTTGGGTTACTAAAACGCTCAAGAAACTAAAAGAAGCCTCTCCATTGAGCTTGAAAGTTACCTTAAGATCTGTGAGTACTACTGAACTTATTTATCAATTTATATCTGTCTACTTTGTATGTTAATGATATTGATTCTTTTTGACTGTTACATTTAGATAAGGGAAGGCAGATTCCAGTCTCTTGATCAATGCCTTGCCCGTGAGTATCGAATGTCCCTTAATGGGATCTCCAAACAGATCTATAATGACTTCTCTGAGGTATAGGTTGTTAAGATTATTCATAGACAAGCATTTCCTGAAATCTCTTCTGACATTGCCTCGTTGCTTCATGGACTTCTTTCTTTAGGGTGTTCGGGCACGATTAGTGGACAAGGACTATGCTCCAAAGGTATCTAATCTGTTTTGTTCAATTTCTTAATCAGTTATTTGCTAATTTGGTCAATTATCTGATGTGACTATGTGGATTTCTGATTAAAAAAATGCAGTGGGACCCTCCAAGCCTGGGGCAAGTATCCAAAGACATGGTTGATTGCTACTTCTTGCCACTAAGTGAATTCGAGGCAGAACTTGATCTACCCACATCATTGCGAGAACCCTTCATCTGATCCATTTTCTCCTGCAGCCTTTTCCTTGTATACATCAGTGGAGATTGGATGTTAGAGGTGTTGGTTTTGCCATTATTTTTGCATTATGAACGGGCTCGTTTTTTACTTTTATTTTGGGCAGAATCTGTTATAATACAATATGTTKCCATTTAGTGATTATCAAGGGAACGGGCTTTTGTAATCTCCAAGCCTCTTTTCAGAAACCAACAGGCAAGTGAAGTGAGGTGAGTCAACAGCTAAAAGATCATATTGATTGCATATTGAGTTTGGACCCAACTAATCTATATGCTGAAGAAATAGGGAACAATCGAATGATTTTGGTTGCCCCACTGGAACAGTTTTAAGTGCCCTGCACTAGGGGCTTTCTGGTCCATATACCTAGGAAATGGATCCATGATCACCTGCTTCCATGATTCTTGTTTCAATGCTAGCCCACGGTCTGTGATATTGAATCTTTCAAAGAATCAGGTGTAAATTAAAGTTTTCAAAGTTTAACATGCATTTAACTGAACAATTGTACCGAAAGCTGCGTTTGGTGGTTGTGCAATTTTATTTGCACTAATAACAAATGCATGGGAATGCAACTGAAAAGGATGCAAATTTTGGTTTAGTTTTGTTTTGGGTTCTACTTTATTCTGCTTCACGTCATATTTTACTTCTTTTGTACTGCGACGAAACAAAATAAAGTAAAATTTGAAACAAAAATAAAACAGAATTTGCACCCAATCATTTGCATTATTATAGTTTTGCATGTGCCTTGGGAAAAGTGCCGATACAAATATGTATAGTGCAAATACTTCCCAAACTGAGCCTAGGAGAAGCAGCCTACAATTGCTAGTTGCTACGGCTGAGTGAAGCTCTGTATGACCTCAAGTCAACTAAATTGTGTTTGCTTGTTGATTAATTAGAAGTGTTACTAATAAAATTCTGTAAAGGTATGTATCGGTTTTCAGGGTTACTAAAATATTAATTGCTAGATTTGGCCTTTTAATAAGTTTAAACATTAATACCCATCTTGTGTTTGTGAATCATAAAACTCAAGAAATAAACAGAAAAGAATATTGATTGTTGAAAACTCTAATTAAGCGATTTGTTATTCTGTCGCTTAACGATCCAAACTTTCAAAAGCTGTAGACACCTCCATAACTTTCGGCCCCATTTGGTTCCCATTCTCATTCATACTGGAATGGCATTCCCCCATATATGTGGGAATGGTCATTCATTCCGTGCCAGGGTTTAATTCTTTTGAACCAAAGCCCCTCATCGCTGAAACAGATTAAACAGAGTTGTGGGCAATACCCCTTTCTCCTCTTTTTCGCTTCATGGGGCTACACAACAGGGGGTAGCCCATCCCCTTTCCCTTAACCCCCCTAACCCCTGGTGGCAGCGGGATTTGATCCCAGGTCTCTACTTCAACAAGTCAAAGAACCTACCAACTGAGCCACCATCAGTTGGCTTATTCCTTTTTCCTCTTAAAATGTCAAATGTAGTAGCTAAAAAGGCAAGGGAAAATACATCTATAAGGGTAACTTGGTTATTTCAAAAAATTTAATAGACCACATGGTGGCTCAGTTGGTAGGTTCTTTGACTTGTCACTTTCCTACCATTTTGCAGACAAAAAGGCCAATAAAATAGCTTTGTGGAAGTTCCTGGGAGGGGTATCACTTGGCTCCTACCATTGTCGGACACATTTGTTAGACCACCTCTTGATTTTCATATCTAAACCCTAAATCTTATCACCTAAAACCTTAATTCTAAACATCTGAACCCTAAACGAGTAAAATGTATTTATTTGGATGCATGTCCTACCAAGAAGTTTTCCTTCATTTTTTTTTCTTTTTTACTTTTGATAGTTCCGATAGTAAAGTGACACCCCTCCCATTGTCTAGGCGGGATTTTAGAGTTTATGTTTACAAAAAAAAAAAGAATGATGCCAAGTAGTAGAAGGACCGGGCATGGTGGTGGGCACATATGGACATAAAAATATTTTTGTAGAAGGATGAAAAAAAATTGATTTATCTCTTAAAGCCTGAAGCCAAAACTTGGATTAGACGAATGATTGGGCGAGTTGCCGAGTTACCTTCTTGTTTCTTCCGTGACTAATTAAATTAACAAGCACATAGTTGGAAGATTAGAACCATTCACATTGGGATTTGTTATTCCATGTATGAAAATGCTGTACGTGTGGGCGTTGCTACAGCCTCAATCTCGAGTCTGTGTTGGGCTTGTAGGTAGGCTATGACATCTGCATAAATACTTTGCTTGGGTAAGCTGGAGCTGGAGGGGGAATAATTTGGTAATTGCAATCATCTCCCTTAAATTTATTGGCACAGTTACAAATAAATCCCTCTATTAGAATCTTCTATAAAAGGCATGAAAATGTCCAAAATACCTATACAGTTTACTATCGATGATGTTTCTACAAAAAATATATATATATAAACTTTATTAAAAAAAAAAAAGAATTCAGAATTGCAACTTTATGTTTGAGTGATTGATATGTAGGGCAAATATGGAAAATAAATCAATTTCAGAAAGGAGATTAGAAAGATTTAGGGTAGGGATTTTATGTACAAAAAAGCTTGTAAAATAAACATTTTGATCAAAGTAACTATATAGATATTTTGGACATTGTCATGTTTTTTTTTTTTTAATTCAAGAAAAAAGGATCTATTTACAACTATGTCAAAAAGTTGAGGGAAATGATTACAATTACCAAACTGTGGGATTCCACTATGATATGGAAAATTCATGGTATCTAAAAAATTCATGACCAATCAACCAATATAATAAATGTAATAGCTAATGGGGTGATATTTATCAAAATTAATAGATTTTCCCCTAATACTTTGCTTTGCCTTACTTGGGTGGGTTGCAAATTAATTATTATTCTCGGACTGGGCAGATATGGCCATGACGTCCATTGGTGGGGGTACCCACGTAAATAGTATTAAATACTTGCGATAGTGTTGGTATTTGACATTTTGAATATTTATAGATCTGTAGTGGAATTTAAAAATCTGTAATGGATTCATCTGTATTTCTCTGTAAAAAGAGAGATGGCCGGATCGAACGATGAGGACAAAATATTAATGTTTTAGGACCAAATTATCCTTTCTTAAATTTTCAAATCCAAACACTCCTGTTCATGGTCACTGTTTATTGTCTCTCTCCTCCGAACGCCACTGTTAATCGTCTTCATTCTTCAAACCGTCAGTCTGAATGAAAAGATGGAGCATGTGCGAGCAAATAGATGGAGATGTTATGCCTTCCATCAATGAAAAGTTATTTTGAAATAAAAAGTAAAAATAACAGAAAGAGGGGAAAAACAGGATTGCAACGATTGTTCTTCCTACCCAACCGAACGGAAAACAGAGTCGCTTTTATTCTCTAACGAGTGACTTCACTTAATTGTCCATTTTAGCTCAATTTACCATTCCTTTGCTACTCTGAATTGGAATGACGTCAAGCCCTTTTTCTATTTTCACACAATCCAACCTCTTTATTTTCCTCTCAATAAATAATTCCTTCTTTTTTAAGATATAAGAGCTTTGCAAAGACAAAAACCCTTTGCACTAAAACTAAATTGGAAAATTTGGAATTTGATACTTTCATGGGTTTTTCTATAGAAAAAAAATAGAAGGTATAATGTTAAGTGATCTCATGGGTAAAATCGATGGATTTATTCTCGGATTTTACTGTGTGGATGATATTTTCAGGAATTGGAGGACTGTTGCATTCTAGTCATCTACAAAAAAAAGAAAAACGATAAGGAGTCGAGATCCTCCTATATCTGATTTCTTAAAACTAAACTTTGATGGGAGCAGTTTTGACAATCCGGGCATATCTGGAATTGGTGGGGTTATAAGAGATGACACGAGGAGTGTAGTGGGGCTCTTTTCTGGCCCTATGGGTGGGGGGACTCCATTACAGCTGAACTAAAAGTAATGGTTTTCGGAATACAAAAAGCCATAGAAATAGGCACAAGAAAGTTGGTTGTTGAAGGCAAGGTTTAAAATATCGATATATTCGATACGCTGGTTGAGTGATTCGTTATTTTTTTTTTTTTCAAAACTGATTCAGGGGAACTTGTCTAGGACCCCTCCATCCCCTGAATCGGTCAGACCCCCGATACACCAACTGTAGGGGAGTATCGAAAAGGTCCCGAAACGATACTTATCGGCCGATATGGGCCGATACGTAACAATACTTTGAACCTTAGTTGAAGGTGACTTCAAAGTGATTATAAGCTTACTAAAACAGGATGGAAAGACTCCATGGATGTTTACAAATGAGATCAAGAAAATTAAGCAAATGACATCCAGTTATTAGTTCAATGGACTGATGGACTCCAAGAGTAGAGATGGGTTCGCAGATCAGCTAGCAAGGCAAGGGGATAATAAGGAACAATGTTTCTGGGCTCTATTGTAAAATTGTAAGGCAAATTTGGGTGGAATGTCTTTTGGACAGCGGGGTAGCCGAGGCTACCCAACCTTTGTACTAATTTTCATATCTTTTCATTAATAAAATTACTTTCAGTGATAAAAAAAAAAAGAAAAAAAAATCTCTGAGCTAATGGGTTTAAGGATGTCACTGATTGAAGAAGCATGTTTTTCTCTCAACTGGGCCGGAAGAAAATTCCTAATTTTCATTGTCCCCATTGATAAAGTCGTGTTAGTGGAAAGCCAAGGCAGGGGAGGAAGGAGAAGATAAAGAAAATAATGTTTTATGAAATGGGGGAACAAGAAAGGTGGAGAGGAGAGAGAACTCACTGTTTTTACAGTTTCCTTGTAAACATATCTGATTTTGTCAATCTATCAAATTTCATTAATTTTTGTATAAAAAGCCCGGTGGAGAATAAGGAAATGTTAGGAATAAATGAAGATTTTGTTGACATAAAAAGGAAAAAAAAAGGAATTCCCAGACCTTCAAACGAATGCATTGTGTTTAAATAAAACACAAATCCAGTTAGAGAACAATCAATTTAACTTGTATACTTTCTCTCAGAAATAGAAACAAAAAAAAAAAAAATCAACACAAAGAGATGAATAAGAAGATGGAGAACCTGATTGCATTGTCGCTTTGATGTGAGCAGACGAGACTCTCCTGTCTGTTTTCCAACCACCATATATTAGCCTTGAAGGTTCCAATCAAAACCCTCAATGTCGGATCAATTTGCCATCAATCTCTATAACGGGGACGTGTGCTATCTTGGACCAATCGCTACTTTTATTCATTTTGCAGGATTTCTGTAGAAGAGGACACCTTCTGATTACTGACCACCGAAGGCTGGAGGGCAGTCCTCCGTCGGGAAAGGCCATTAGGCGAGAGCATCCTATGATTTTCAACTCTTGAAGAGATGTGATGTTGTGCATCCCTTGAGGTAGGGATTTGAGTTGCTCACATTCTTGTATGATAAGTAAGCCATGTTAGATTGTTGGTTGGCAGTCCTCCATTGGGAAAGGCCACTAGACGAGGACATTCTTGGATCCTTAACTCTTGAAGAGAAGCGATGTTGTGTATCCCTTCAGCTGGTAGGGATTTGAGCTCCTCACTTCTTACTACTTGGAGTTTCCATAAATTGGTCGGCAGCCCTCCATGGGGAAAGGCCACTAGGCGAGGACATTCTTGGATCCTAAACTCTTGAAGAGAAGTAATGTTGTGCATCCCTTGAGGCTTGAGGTAGGGATCTGAGTTGCTCACATCTTATTATCTCAAGTTTCCATAAATTGTTGGTTGGCAGTCCTCTGTGGGGAAAGGGGGGAACTGCCAATTTGGGGCACCTGTATATACAATGCCTCTCTAGACAAGGAAACAGTTGTTGCCGTATGCCACCATGACTATGATCACCTTCCAGGACCAGTACTTGGTCTCTGTCTATGTCACCACCCGACTCTGAGTCTTGGGACCATTCTCCCCCTTGCCAGTTATCCATTGCAATTATATATAATTCCACGAGATAGGGTAGCTTTCCAAGAGTTGTTGCCGAATGGGATAATTTTGCATGATGTACATCTCTCCAGTGTCAATTTTCTCAATTTGAACATCTCTCCCATGTCCCATCCAATATCCCTTAATTGTCAAAACGCCTAACTTTGCAGGAGATGGATGAAAACACTGGATTACTCGCAGGGCCACATCTTCATCTCCAACTCCAATCACATTATCCCATTCCCATTCTAATGTTAAGTCCTCAAGGTATCGATTGTTGGTGAAATTGGAAACATATGCAGCTATATCATCGTTGACGGGATTAGTGTTCTCTAATCCTGACATCCTCTACGGTTGCTTGTTGTTTTAGTATCGACCAGCAGTATTCATTTTCCAGGCAACCCAGATGATAAGCTGAAACTTTTTCAAGTCTTGCGGTCACTATAACTCTACTTCCTCTTTCCCCAAATTGGAATGGTCTCCGCAGTTGTTCCCAGTCCCCCCGTTTCTCATTCCATACATCATCTAAAACGATCAGAAATTTCTTCCCATCTAACTGCTCCTTAAGTTCCCCTTGGAGTGGCTCTAGTTCATCGAGTTGACAAGCTCTTCTAGTGGCCGACTCGATGATACCTTTTGTTATCTTAGCATTGTCAGTTTCTTCCGACACACAAGCCCACGCTCTGACGTTGAAATGCGTCTCTACTCTCTCGTCGCCATTGTACACAGACTGAGCAAGCGTGGTTTTGCCCAGTCCACCCATACCAACTATGGGCAACACTTCATAATTTTTTCCATCACCACCCGATGATGAACCATCCTGACTCTACAACATAGAAATTATCTTCTTTTTATCAGCTTCTCGACCATAAAACCCAGATTCTTTATCTAGAAGGGAAGTGGTTTGCCGACTAGTACTTCCGACTCCGCCACTGTTATTTGATGAGCCCCCTCCTACTCCTACATTGATGTGTTGCAAACCCAATCCAGTTGCTCGATTGCTAAGGGCATCAAAGCATTCCTTAATTCCCTTAACCCGAGAGGCTATCCTATGTTTAAGCAAAACAACCTGTTGCTTCTGTTGTTGTTGTTTCATCATCTTCAATTCCATTCGTCCAACATGAGCCGCATATTCGAGGTTGATGCTGACACAATTGTTTCAATGGAAGCTGAAACAAACAATTGCTTCGAGCACAAACTCTCCCAAAAAAATATGAAGAATGTGATTAGCCCTTAGCTTTTTACCAACACAAGAATTATATCGATCAATTATGCCAGTCTCCTCCACTTCCAAGCTAACCTCTTTCACCAACATCATTGTCCTTCACGATAGCCCTCTCTTTTGCCTTCTCCACTATTTTTCTATTTTTTTTTTATTTTTTACACTTTTTAGTATAACCTCTACCATCTCACCCATTCCAAATCATTGAAAACATTTCTTCCCTAAAATTTCTCCTAATCAATCTCCTAAAAATATTTCTACGAAAAACTTCATCCTAAAAATTCTCCAATGCTATTCACATCCTCAACGAAACTATCCAATGGTTTATTTTATTTTATTTTATTTTTTGGTAAAGCATCTAATAATTTATTCTAACACATTCTCTCTCTCTTTCTCTCTCTCTCTCTCTCTCTCTCTCTCTCTCTCTCTCTTTATATATATATACCTTTTAAATGCATGCAATTAGTTTTTCATCAAGGGTATTCAAATATTAATGTTTAAGTGAATTTTTAAATATTAAAAAATAAGATAAGTAAAAAATATCTAAAAATACCAATTAGAGGAAAATTTGATAATAAAAAAGATAAAAAAATAAAGGTAAACAAATAATAGTAAATATTAAAAATAATAAAATATTATTCTAATTATAAATAATTGTATAATGTTTTAACAATCATTAACAGATGTTACTAATAAACCTTATTATTATAATCCATTTTAAATGTTATGTAAATATTATAAAAAATTAATACAAACCTATTAATAAAGTAACAAAATTAATAAAAATAATAGTTATATAATTAGTTTTTTATTAATTTAAATCCATTTAAAAATAATTAAATTAATAAATGTTAGTAATAGCATATAAAATTAATTAATTCCACTATTAAAAATTATTAATTTTACACTTTTGTTAATAAAAGATAATTAAAAATAAAAATAAAAAAATCTAAAAACAAAAAAAAAGTAATGAGGGAGAGGTGATGCTCACATGGAAAACTACTTTTTGGTATATACAATAGACTTTTATTAATTTAAAGTCTACTCAGATTCTAGCTAAAAATAACAAAATTTAATATAAAACTTAGCCCCTCTAACTGGGGTGTTACTTGTATTTCAGTTAAACAAACTAGACATAACCAAAAAAAATAATGCTTGAATTGTACTTGGACCGACACGGGTCAATAGAGAATATCATAGGGTTATCTTTATTTCAATTTCTATTAAAAAATCTTGTGCATCACATGGATCCCAACTGATTAATAATTCCCGAATTTCCTCAACTCTCATGTCTTTTGAGCACCAGAGACATCTTCCATTCATCCCCTCCAGTTTGTTCTTTGTTGCAGGCTTGGCATCCATGGCTTACATAACCAATAAATAGCATATCAAATCAAAGGCAAAAATAGTGAATAAGGTCTCATAGGAGGTTTATTCCTGACTTGACCTACCATCCTACCCATTCTTTTCTTTGCCAAGTCTAGAAAAACAGGACCATCCAACATRATTCTTGTATTCCAACCTGAAATATTGATTTACTGGCTATGGACTATTGGGCCAAGCCAATTCTAGGCCAGGTTAGGGTTTGGCCAGCTGAAAAATATACAAGGAGTTATGCACCGCAACCCGGTTTGGCCCAAATGACCCAGTGATGCTATTAAGTTTTTCTCTCAACAAGTTCGGGTATATGGTGCATATATATTAGGTTGGCAATAGGTGGGGTCTATCCGAAGGATCCAAACCAACCGAACCAATTATAATAATTCTGGTTTCATGATTTTGTCCAAATTATTAATTGGGTTGGTTTTGATTCTTGCCTATCATGAACCGATTCAAATCTGAAATCGATTATATAATTATATATATATATAGATTTTCTAATTTTTTTTTATAATTTCTATCATAATTTATGATAAATTTGATAGATAATATATATATATATATGTGAGATATAATATTATTTAAAAATACTTAATTTATTAACATATAAATAATTTAACATTTTTCTATCATTTTATTAAATTTAAATTTTAAATTGTTATTTAAATAAACAAATATAATTTTTAATATAATCAGGTCTATTGGGTCCACCTGACAATTAACCAGAAAAGTTTTAGGTATGTTATTTTGTCCCAATTAATAATCAGTTTTGGACAGGGACCACCCTGTTCCGATCCGATCCAGATCCAATCCGTTGATAGCCCTAATATAAATACTTCTTTTTTGCCTCAAGGCTTCTGCTCTACCTTCTTTGTGGTTGGGACCACCTTGGAGGCCGGAGCTTTGGCTGCATCCTCAATAGCTTTGGCACAGGCCCTTTTTTGACCTCTCCAAAGAGTTGTATACAAACAGAAACAGGTCGTTCAACTTCCGTTGATGCTATTCTTTGAGTACTCGTTTGGTAGGGCTTTCCCACAGCAGCTTATGGCATCGCAAGGTAGTCCCTACATGAAAAAGTTGGGTAGCTTCAAGTCACTAAGTGAAGACAGTTCATTGAATGCAGAAGAGTGCTCTGAGTCAACACAAGACTCTCTTACAAAAGTTCAAGAAAGCTGGGTACCTTTAAGTCATATTTAATCACTAAAATACAATTAAGACAAACGAGCTTTTGCAAAACTTTTGCGTTTGCCGGGAGTCGAACCCGGGTCTATTGCTTGGAAGGCAATTATCCTAACCGTTGGACTACAAACGCTACAGTTGTTACAGTTTTTCCATGTTTCAAATCTAATTAATGCACATTGACCAGATATAATCACACATATAATGGTGATGGTCAAGCATGTGAAATTATTTTCAATTTATCTAAATATATGAATACAGTTTAGCCTCTAAGGTGGATATAGTCAAGGTTAAAAATTTTGACACGATGCATATATTCTAAAATTTTGAAAGAAATTACTAAAAGAATGATGTGTTAGGTTCGAAGTACTGATACCGTGAGACACCCCTTCTTACGTATCAAGGTGTATAGATGTTTGAAGTTTGAACCTTGGACATAGGAGAGGGTTCTCATCACTACAAACATTTTTCCTATTCTTGGTTTGCTCAAACCAAAATACTTTATTGACACCCACAGAGGGATAACATCACATGAGAACTATTTCAAGCAAAATTCGGAGACTCTACTGGTTGGTCAGACCGATAACCCAGTTTGAGTTAATCTATAATCCATCAAAATAAACATTAAACCGGATTGGTCCCAAATGATCTAAAGTATTTATTAGATTGAATTGAACTTGACCAAATTCGGTCCAATTGACGCGGAAACTTTGTGTTCATGTTGTTGCAATTGTTTTCTAAGGTAGACATTCCAATTACTGGTTAACAACTAACCCGAGAGGCTATCCTATGTTTAAGCAAAACAACCTTTGGATTACAATCATAATTATAATGCTGAGGCATGAACGCACCTGTTGCTTCTGTTCTGTTGTTGTTGTTGTTTCATCATCTTCAATTCCATTCGTCCAACATGAGTCACATATTCGTCTAATATGTCTTCGGCATCATAAGCCAGATCATTCAGTTCATCCAGCCAAGTCTTCACCACCTCACTACTTCTCTCTTTCTGCGCAGCATCCACGTGGAAAGCCTTGATCATCTTCAGTGTTCATTCTCGAGCTTCAACATCCTTCTCAACTCCCCATATGGACGAAACTTTTTGGATAATTGCGTTCACCGACTTGTCAATTAAATTTTCAATGGAAAGCTGAAACAATTGTTTCGAGCACAAAAGCCATGATCAGAAAGGAAAGTAAACAAAGCAGAGATGGACTAACTGTATTACTGCTGAAGAAGAAGCTTCTAGAACCCTGGGACTGGGAGTCTGGGAGTATGATCCTACCTTTTTATCTTACCTTGTTCACAGAATCGAGGTTGATGCTGACACTCCCAATCACGATCGACCACGTCCGCTCCGTATACATAAGCCCCATCTCAAAATCCAACCTTTGTTTTGTATATTTATTAATTGTCTAAAATAATTAATTGCCCAAATTCGAATCAAAATGAATACTTGAATATTTAACCGAATTCAAATTCAAACAGTGATTTTCAATATCCCTCAAGTATTAAACTGAATTTGGATATCAAAATTTTTAATCGAATTCAAATTTACATATTCAGTGATTCGATTCGAATTCAATCCATTTACACCCTTAAACTAACACTCTAAATTTGATTCTAAAAGAGTTTCTCTACTACTTGTGCGTTGAAATATTTTCTTTTGTTTCTTTTTCTTTTGCTTCTTTTTCTTTTGCAAGCAAATGGTAAAATAGGCCTGTTATTTTTGTTCCCTTCCAAGATATTTTTGACCAATTAACAGACTACCTTGAACCTACGAAGTAGGAACTCCTCGATGGGAGGTGAAAAAAGGAATGGGATTTATCATGCATCTGTCACAATAATTATTTACAACGATAGGTCTATTTTAAGGGAAATTGTCTAAAACTCACCATGAGTTTTAAGCATTTCTCTTAAACTCACCACAACTTTTCAAAATGTCTAAAACTCACCATGTCACTAACTTGACGTTAAATAGACTA